GGTGGAGAGAGGCACTGTGAGAGTAAAGTGTCTTGCCCAAGAACACAACACAGTGTCCCCGGCCAGGGCTTGAACCCGGACCGCTCAATCCGGAGACGAGCAAACTAACCATAAGGCCTTTTTTGTTTGCAGCATGTTAGGCAGCGTGAGCACGATATTTTGGTCGCTGTTTGGCCAGATAGACCCTGGTAGCTTCCAGCTTGATAATAGTGAATACGATGTTATATGGAAAACTGGGTTGATCTTATTCGGCGCGTTCAATATCGTAGCAGTTCTGGTGGCTCTTAACATGCTCATTGCAATACTCAACGATTCTTACGTTCAGATAACGGTACGTACTGAGCTGATTTCACATTTTTCAACTCATTTCTCTGCTAAACCATCGCCCTTTCCGCTATCAGGATATTAAACTCACTATTGAAGGGATAAATAGGCTGATGTAGTACATCAAACACGAAAGACCATGTTTGACCACATTTCCAAACACCGAGAAGAGAGTTGAAAATACGACGCGCAGCAGAATATTTTTGACGAACTTTGAGGTGTTTGGAAGTGTGGTCATGCTCATTTGCTCATTTGCTATGATCATTAAGGTCAGATTTCCAAACATCATCACGGTCATGATTGATTATTAATGAGTTTGAAAAAGACTTATCCTGGTTAATACACTCAAAATTATGATCACAATGCTTATCAATTAACAATTGCTTCAGCAAGAATCATCACGGTTTGCATCGCTAACGAACAAACAAGCAAACAAACAAACAAACGAGCAAACCAAGCTATGTAAGTGCTACTTGCTAGCCAGACTTGCCAGATTAAGATGCAGTGAGTCACCAATCTGATTCACTTGGACTATTACATAACATATATCCGAAATCAGTGGCTATATTGAGGCATCGAACACGTACTCTTTCTGGCAATTGTTAACATTTTGTAACACTTTCGAGTTTCGAATTTATCTGGCGGGCTGTTTCGTCGCCTGGCCTAACGTAGCTTAACGTTTTCTAAGAAGTCCTGAGAGAGGAGCTCGTTTATCGTTCACGCGAATTTGCGAGTGTTCTTCCAGCTAATTTTAATTTTAGGTCGTACCAGTGAGTTTCGAAGCAGTTAATTTGATTGCGCTCCAGGCCGAGGCCGAAACTAACAACGTGCTACTGTACAAAAAAAAAAAAAGAAAAGGAAAAACTGTCTGGAAGTAACGATAGTAAATGTGACGTCGTTGTTCATATGATTGACAGGCCAACTTGGATGCTGAATGGAAGTTGACCAGGACGAGGCTGTGGTTAAGCTGGATTCACAAGAAAGGCGTTCTTCCCCCGCCTTTTAATCTTCTGTACCTGTTGCTTCCACTCCTGTGGCTTATTAAGCGTCTTGTCACAGCCTACTGCTCAAAAAGAGTCTTGGTGAGTATTGTAGTAGATGAGGAAGTTTATAAGAAGGATTTTAAGTCTGTCAATAAACCTGGCTTATCAGATCCAAGTTTAATTGTCGCCGTTTCTCTGGCACTAACAGACTCTTGAAGTATTGCTGATCCCCTTAGTGGGCTGATAGTCCATCACAAGCAACTCCTCTCCAGATTTTGTCAGCTTTTCCCTACAACGTCCCATTCAACGTCCCAATTTATAACACTCCTGAGTGGTGGATCGGAGGGTACTGTTGGCTGTCGACCCAAACAAAGCTCGAATCCAGACCTCTATATCCGTATTACTAACCACTGATGAAGCCACTGTGTCTTCTATAATGATGTTTGCTGAACATTACAGACTAACGATATTCTATTCGTTAGGGCTTTTGTTATCCGATCTGTTACTTTCTGTACTGAATTTTCGGTGGCTTCTGTCCACCTTCATCAGAGTTGAAGTGCATATGAAGTAAAAAATAATTGATGCTTTTTTGAAATGCTTTTCAAAATAAAGAAGAACGGTGTTTTCCTTTTTGGAACATCTTCTTTGATTTCAGAACACTGAAAGAACACTGCATAGTTTGAAGAACACTGCTTTAATATCTCTAGAGATATTCTGAATTGAGTGTTTTACTGTTTAAGTGGTTATGACATCATCACCTTCCTCATTTGCATACTACAAAAACATAAATATCTCTAAATCTAAAGAAGATATTCCAAAACGAGAAACACTATTCTTATTGGTTGTGAAAAGCCTTTCAAATAAACAGCAATTATTTTTTACTTCACAGGCAGTTCGCGTACGATATTCTATTCAATAAATTGAAATGAATAGTACATGTACTACTGATCGAATAGTGTAAGATATATGAGAAGATATTTTGCAAGTCGAATTTGTCTTTATGAAAATGGAATATCGCCAACAACGATCCAAAAGAACTTAATATCATAAAGATGCGTCCATGATGTGTCCACGATATTGTTCTGCAGGATCATGTGATTAGAAATCGTATCCGTACGTCTGACATTCAAACACAATTACAATCTACTTCATTACAAGGCACTGGGTTAAGAACTCTCAAAAATTATTTTTCTTTTCACATAGATAATTTTCAAACGATTTGTCAAGGATGGGGGTTCACACTCTAACTGGAAAGCAAAAAGGATTAACGAGAAGGAGGTAATAACTTATAAATTGTTAAAATGCTTGCCAAATCAAGAGCTGCTTCAGAGTTATAAACACAAGACACTTAAGGACGTTCGCGCGAAAATTTTCCAACATTGATTTTTTTCTGAGACTTTTACCACTGTAAGATGATGAGTTAGTTATGTCAGAAATGTAAAAAAATGGGGTGTCACCGACTTCATTTTGGAGAAAACATGTCCGGAAAAACACCCTAAATCTGAAAAAATCAGGCTTCGTTAGCAAATAAGGCCAGTGTCTGTAAGTCCAAAAATATTGCAATTACGTCACAGTTTCACGCGCCTTGCAGCCACAAGATGGCAGGATTCGATGTCGCGTGGACAGAAATCTTGAAAATTTTCTAACTTCCCACATTGATTTTTTGTTCATTTTTGGACAATGCGGAGATAATTGTAAATAAAATCTGTTTCTGGAAAGAAAAGTTGGGGTTACCGAGAGTCCAAGATCGTTAAACCAGGCAAAGCTATAGCAATGGCCATCTGCCTTATCATTGTTCATTTTATTACTTAGCGCGCGCTCTCATGCATGACGTGGCGTGTGAATTTGCCTGCGCAGTAAGGATGCGCAGAAACAATTAGCGCGAACGTCCTTAACTCATAACGGTGACTTTGAAAGACTCTAATGTTGCTACGGTAATCTATTGAGTCACAAAGGTGATCGTAACTTGTATGAAATCATGCCAACGGTTATCCATTCCTCCGATACCGTTATTTCAGCGTGTCCATACATAACCTATTTTTATTTTGTGACTGGAATGTGCGCATCACGAAACGCGATAATTTCGTCTCGCCATTCTCCTCAGTCTTTCCACAGTTCTCCTCGGTGATTTTAGACTGCAAATAAAACAAGTTGAGTTGAATCTGGGAAAACCACCATAAAGCTGCGTAACAGCGTCAACAACATGCTAATACTTACTACATTACTTTGCTAACGTAACGCTCAGTGACAATTCAACACATATTCTTTGATTTACGTCTGACATGAGAGCGGCCATCGGCTCAGCTGCGTGAACGTACTGCAAAAAAATATATGTGAGGCTCTAAAAAAAGGTTTTTCCTCCAAAGCACAAAAGCTTTCTCCTCTATACTGCATGGCACTATCGATCCATCGCATAAGGTCACATCTCCATTAAACCATTACAACCTACGTACGCCGACACAAAGCGATAAATATATCTTCATTGTTCAGTTTTTATTGCACGTTTCCTATAATCCAGAAACAATTTGGTGTTTCTTTTCTTATTTCAGAGACGGGAAGTGATTCGCCATCTTGTCCTGAGGAACCTGGCCAAGAAATCTTACCATTCAGAGGATGGAACCGAGTCTATCGACTCCGACGAAGAAAACGAGAACGAGGCAACAGTCCCGTTTGAAGAGAGTGGCTTGGATACGAGTCAATCAAACGACGTTGTTACCAGTTTTTAAAGGCCTTAGACTGGAAACCGAACCAAAGAAAGATGTCCATTGAGGCTAAAGTCTCTAAAGAAAACAGTTTGCAAGTTCGAATATTAAACGCTTTCCAAGAAAGAGTCAAGACTTATTATCGTAGAAGTGTTGTTTTTATGAGCAAGAGCAAGTTATTTGCTCATCAAGCCATGCATTATATCTGGAATTTCAATTCGGGTCTACTAACACTGGAAGAAAACATGGATTTTCGCGGGTAGCCAGTGTGAAGTCATAAATAGTCTTCAGTTGATTCTTTTGCAACATCAAGCCGGGTGAAGCCTTCATTTTGATTGAAGTTCGAACTTGAAAACTATCTTATTTACGAAGTTATTTTGTTTAAGAGTTGATCTCGAAAATTTATATATCAGTTCCAGCTTGAAATTTATGATCGCTTTAAGTAGAAGAGGTTTCACCGACTGTTTAAAGCTAAACATATATTTTTATATATTAAGAGCTGTCACGCCGTGCTGATATGCTGGAAATATTATATTTTTTTAGTATTGTAAATATTTGAGAACAGCAAGAGTACAGCAGAATATAACATTTGAAAACTTGATGCTGACTTACTTTATTATATATCATGTATCATATCCTTTGAATATTTTTTTGGATATCTTCAAGCGACCGTTTTATCTTCAGATTAGTCCGGCAATTGTCAAAAGATCTCAATTGAGTCGTCAGTTGTTCGTGTTATATTCAGATTTTTCCAGTATCCAGCCTGAAAGGATATTTCTCAATATCAAGGACTTACAACGTTTTTGTGTTTACAGTGAAACCATTGTCTGGAGGTTTCCGAGATCGCTTTAAGCCGGTCATGCGAACGATTCCGAGCTTTCTCCGATGTTCCGAACATCCTTTAGGAAAACAAGATATTTAGGTTAAAAACCAATAAATTTAATTCATTTAACCATTCAAAGGGTAAACATGATATATATAGAAAAACGTGCCAACATTAACTTACATTATTAGACGTTGAACTATTGCTTTAACTTTTCGTGACTCAATTGTGAACGGAAAAAACCCTTTGTTAAGCCGCTATATTTGTTTTTAGCTCTTCTCTCTATAAATAACCACCTCTTTTGCTTCCTGCTTGCAAAAATAGTAACCCAAGACAATTTTAACTTGCCTGAAGTCGTCTCGCGCTATTTACTTCGTTTTACGCGGAAAAGGAACCTTACGTCGTCACGGGCACGAAGACTGTTTCTTCACCTTATTCAATGGTTTGACTTATATTAAATACGCGCGGATGTTTTGCGAGTTTCGCAGTATTTCTCCGAGCCCTGAAGAGGCGAGAAAAACTTGATATGATCAATGAGTAAAATGTAAGCGCGTATTATATATTAAACCATCTATATATCCCACTGTCATGTCATTTTTTGGTATTTCAGCTTCTAGTTTTTGAACTATATCCTCTATTATTCGAAAATCGCTCCGATTAAATAAAGGACGAAACCAACACAAACGAACCATTAAAATGCCATCTATCTCCCTCACACACACAAAAAAATCTGTTCTGGTTAAGCTTTAAAGGCCGCCATAAGTCAAAGTTTGGGTCGCCCAGTTCGGCCATTTTCGTTGTTGCTCTGCCGTTCCCGTCCGTATTTGCTCTGTAGTTGTAAAAACCGGGACTCTACAGTGCATCACGGACTCAAAATTTGCGCGTTTTCGTGTTAGTAACCCCTTCTTTTCGTGTGGAAAAACATTACTTTAACTTAATTAGCTGATTCATTATTTGAACAAAATCTAAGTTCAAAAATGTCTTTACTGAAAGAAGGGAGCAACCCTATCCACAGGGGGGCTTAAAGAGCTTTTAAGACCGAAGAAACTAACCTTGCGTTACATTTATCTGACTATTTTTCTAAACATTTCCAGAGACTTAAGTTCTTAAACACGTCAGCAATTCTTTTTATATCTAGACTGATTGTAAACTTTCGAGGCAATTGTTTCTTTTAAATCATTCCTTGTCACCTTTTCAGTTAGCGTCGAATTGCATCGTCACATTACTGTGTTGTTTTTCAATTATTACCATAATATTTACTTTAAAAATAGCACGTTCTTCAGATAAACTGTTATGTGTTGATATAGCTGTGAGCATGATACACTTGATTAATTAATCACGAATCACGAACAGAAACAAACCGTAACAAAACTACGTAAAATTTCCCATACTGACTTACAAGCTAGTATTAAATGCCGGCGTCTCAAAAAATATATGTAAAGTTCGGTTTTCTATTCAACGAAAAACTGATTGCGGATATACCAATTTCAACTCGGCAATAGACAATAATAGTTTTTTTTTTCAGATTTTGGCCACATGACAGCGTGGGTGGAGCTAAGAATATTGATTAGAAGGCAAAAATGGACACGAAAATCAGATTGTGTGGTGATTAATTGAAGACATTAAAGGCATCAGGTTGATAATAAACTGAGTTGCGTTTTTCTCTTCCATAGCGGTGTCATGGAAACACGAAAGTTCTCCAATAGTTAAACCAATACACTTTGAGAGAGTTACTTAAGTCACCTATCGTGTTTAGAATTTTCAAGAGTGAAAAATTTTAATGAGTCGTCTTGATAGTAAACATTTCAGTTCTCACAAGAAGCCAAAGAGGGAAGAGATTGCCAGATTGTCACATTAGGTTATCTTTAAGAACTGTCGTGTTTCTCAAGAATGTCTTCTGTTAGTATAAACTTCAACCTTCACTATGAAATGATTTCCGAAACGGCAGGCTTGTTTGCGGTTGTTTTACTGGTCGTCATGGTTGTACTCCTTATGTCGCGAACGCGTTCATATCGAAGGTGTTTTCGGTCACAGAGTGTTGGAAAATTATCTAGAAAACCAGTCCCCGAAGAAAACGGAGAGAAGAGCTGCGATCAAGTAAGAACCGTGTTTATATATATAACAAGATAAACTGAAAGTTCACAAAAAAGGTTTTAGTAGATGGAACAGTTTTCATCATATTTTGGATTGTCTTTTTTGTTGTCATGTTATAGTCTAGTGCGTCTTCTAGCCATGGCATCATGTGCCTAAGGGCTCGATGAAGATTGAGTTAATGATTAAAAATGACTAAAAATGGTCCAGCCATACACACCATAGGGCTGGAATACAAAATCACTTAATAAATCTGCTTTGAACTACGGTTTTCATTTCTAGGTTTGGCCATATTGGTCGTGCGACTTCCCAATAACAGAGACTGATCCAGAGCAACATCTTACCAGAGTCCTTGAACGCGATGAAGAGAGACAAAATAACAGGCAAAACTGAAGACGTCCGTAATGAACAATTTCAAAACATGCTCTAATAATACTGATGTATCAGGGGCACCCAACGACCGTTTTCTCTTGAATGCTTTTAAGTGCTGTTTTAGGCTATCTGGAGTACTTTTAAGGCTCTGTAGGTTAATTTTAGGTTGCACTAAAAAAAAATTATCTTTTCGGTTACTCTAGGGGAACTTGAGTATTCTCGAATTTATTAGGGCTTTTTTTGTCCATTCCCTTAGATCTTATCGCCTTTCAGAAAATGATAGCTGACCTTTTTTCGGTACCCAAAACGACATTTTTAACAATCCGAAGACAACAGACATTAAATGTTTCATATCACGAAAGACCGAGTTGATAATTCTCTTAAGAAAATCAGAGGGGCTTTAAGGCCTTTCGAACAGATAATTTACCGAAACGATCCGTTGGGTGCTAAGCAAATTAAAAATCTCCGTACATGTGCTTTGGAAGATTCTCTCAATCTCTTATTCTCTTAAATTCAAGTTCGCGCCACATAACGTTGGCCCCACATGGTGATGATTTGTTCAAGATGAAATAATTTACCACAACTAAGGGACCGTTCATTTTTTATGAGGGAGGGGGGGCTGGTGGGATTTGGGAAGCACCATTTAAAAATCGCATGACCCCCCCTCAGCTTACCAATT